GCATGGTCTCGATCTCTTGACCTTGTGATCCACCTGCCTCGGCCTCCCAAAGTGCTGGGATTACAGGCTTGAGCCACCGCGCCCGGCAACTGTTTTATTTCTAATATGATTTTTCTTCAAAAATCATCATATACATTAGTTTCATCACTTTATATGTGTATGCTATATGAGTGGTTTGAAAATATAAGTGGTTTAAAATCATGTACATTGGAATAGATCTAGGTGATTTTTTTTTCCTATATATTGTTTTCCAAAAAGACAGAAGTAACAGGTGTTTATGGAATCTGGCAACTGTTTTAACTAACACATTCAAGAATTAGTGTTAGATACTCTAAACCTAGCTACTTTAAGTGCCTTTTTAAAAAATAGTAACATTAGTATCATTTTCATTAAGAACACTCTAACTACCACATTTACTCATTGCTGGGAAATAATCATGAAGGTTGATTTTTATTGCCATCTTAATTTTCAGATGATAATATTAAAGTGGAATCACAAACTAATGCTGTTAAAAACATCTAGTAATATGAAATGTCGTCAAAACCATAATGCACAATATTAAAAGGGAAATAAACTACTGATTTTAAATGGCTGGGCTTGTATTGATAAAAGTTGGCTCAAATGACTAATCTTTTTAAAGTTTACTTTCCAAATTACAGCTGCCACACAGCAACTATCACTGGTTAAAAATTGCTTTTCAAGATCAGCCATAAAATGTGTATTACATATACATTTAATATAAACAGAATTCATCAAGTCATAATATATTAATTAGCTACATGATAGAGCAAGGCATGATTAGATTACTTATTGGACTAATTTAATTTTCACAGTGGCAGCTAATTTAAAGGAAGCATTTTGTTTTCAAGCTTGTTTTTAGGAATTGTTATATAAAAAGTATTAATCTGGTATTTGAAAACAATCTTTCTCCCTCTCTCTCTGTCAGAAATAATTCGTGATACAGTACTTCTATCTTTGGTAGACAGAGATAGAAATATTTTTTAAATGATAAGAATAAACTAGATGATGAAAAACCTTTGGAAGAATATGAATCCTACTTTCTAAGATTAGCATCAGATTTTTCTCTCTTTATACCCTTTTCAGGATCTTTTTGAAATCAATGGGAGATCTATTCATTAGCATGGGAGAAAGTATACCTGAAGTGCATTGCTGAGATATACTCAGAACAAATAAACGGAAACCAAATCTCACTTCCCACAACCCAACAATGTTTGTTTCTATACTCATCTATCCCTAAGAAGCAAATATTTCACTGAGTCCTAAGAAGCAGATCAGAGAGAGAGCAAAGAAATAAAGGTCCTTGATCCAAGTAACAAAGTGGGCCTAAAGTAAACTATTATACATAAAGACATGATAGAAAAAGCATTTACCAGGTTACTAATACATTTTGAGACTGATATAAAAGTGGTTATGGAGAGGCTAATTGAAAAGAACACATAACCCAATTGCTTTAATGCTGACAGATAAGGAACAAAACTTTGGCACATAATAGAGCTCCAAATAAAAACAAAACTATTACACAGTTGTTGCAGATATATTTTACAACATATCTAATCAAATAATAATATCCATAATCCAAATATTTCAGTGAGTTAAGCAGTGGAAGTGAACAATAAAATAAATGGAAGGAAATAAGAAACCTCTTCTTCATTACAATTTAGTTATAGATGTGTAAGGTAAAATATATCCCAATTCAACAAGCATTGTTGTCCTCACCAATCCGTGATCACCCTGTTACTGTTATGGCTCTCATATTCTAACCATAAATTATGCAGGAATAGACAAATTTGGTGATCACTTTATCGAACAGACATTTGTACAATTAGAAGCCATGCTGCCCACATGAGATGTGTACATCGAATAGTTCTCCAATGAAGAAACTAGTATATAATAACTGTATAGGGAAAACTCTGAGCTACATTTTTGTTGTCAGATATTCATTATTTTGTGGCAGGAATTGTTCAACCTCAATTACATCCTATGTGGTTAATATGCTTCTTCACCAAACAAAATCACCAAAATTTACCTATAAACTCAGCTTCTAAAGTATAAGACTCCCACTGATGATTTTAGCCTAAGGTATAAAACTACTGGATGCTCAATCCCATATATCTCATAATATAAGCATAAGTGCATTCTTCCCAAACCAGAATTTCAGGTAATATATTCAGGAATAGTGAAATGTATTAATTATATTCTGGTTTATATTTTTATTCTCTTAAGTAAAAAATTGTGCCTTAGGGCCTCAATTTAATAGAAACTAAGCTTCACATATACATATGTTTTTCCTTCTGTGTTTTGTGTTTCATACTACAATAAAGAAAAACAAAATATTTTAAGAATTAATTTAACAAATAGAAGAATGACACCATGAAATTTAAGTAGAAACTCTTTTACTGTTTTATCTGATTTTTTTCTTCCTGGAGTTATGATTTCAAGTTCACACTTCAATGATAGAAGCTATTTAGCTTAAAATGAAATGATTACAGTAATTAATAATATGGAGTTGGTATAATTAATGTGAGCAAAAAACAGCTGATATTTTCATATGAGTTGCAAAATAGACTTTATTGATAATTTCAAAAGAAGCTCTTTCAGAATGTTTTGGAAAACTGCAGAACCCTTAAAGTGATTATGTACCTATGCAAAGTGGTGGCTCAGATCTACAAGTTTAAATATAAAATAGGACATTATATTACCCTCATACACGTATTTTGATATTTAACAATTTAAGATTGCATTTTCTTCCATATTCTTTTAACAGACTACAGGTCTTTTGTTTTTGGGTTATCTCATATGTGTTAGTAGGTCAATCACATAAGAAAAAATTTATTTCTCCTTCACCTGTTTGTTTATACCTAGAGGAAAATGATAAGGTAAAAGCAAGGAGTAAAATAGGAGAAAGGAAAAAGAAAATGTGTGCATTGTGAATAAAGAAGAAAGTGAAAATATAAGCAAGAAACCTAATGAGCTCCCATAAATCAAGCATCTTGATTTGCATACCCACTTCTTATTTTTCTTTTTTTTTTTTTAATTCTTCTGTTGTCAAAATAATTATTTATGCTGCCTAGTCATTCATACTTCTTATTCCTTATTTCCTACACTAAAATAATCTGGCTATTTGCCATGCACTAAAATTGTGGATTCTGCACTAATTAAAAAACTTTTGCTTTTTGCTTCTTTAAATTAATTCTTTAAATTAAGTCTGATATTTCAGTTCTCCTCATCTCCCAATTATGTTGAAGTAAAAATAAGATTTACAATGGTTAAAATATAAAAAACTAATACCTCCCAAAATGAATTACAAAAGGTGTGATGGAATAACTGAATTTTAATTTTTAACAGTAGCTTACCTTGCCTATCTCATATCTTTCTGCAGAAAACTCACAAATGGGGATTATCCGTATGTTCTCTAGCTTCATGAACGCATTTAGTTAGCTAAAGAAGAATCATCTCATGAATGGTGCGGAAAATGAGTACAATGATTTTCGCCAAAGGAGCAGCAGCTCCAGGATCTTTCAAAGTAGCAGCAAGCAGCCGGGTATGGTGGCTCATGCTTGTAATCCCAGCACTTTGGGAAGCCAAGGTGGGTGGATCACGAAGTCAGGAGTTCAAGACCAGCCTGGCCAAGATGGTGAAACCACATCTGTACTAAAAATACACACACACACACACACACACACACACACACACACACAATAGCCAGGCATGGTGGCAGGCACCTGTAATCCCGGCTACTAGGGAGGCTAAGGCAGATAATTGCTTGAATCTGGGAGGCAGATGTTGCAATGAGCCAAAATTGAACCACTGCACTCCAGCCTGGGTGACAGAGAAAGATTCTGTCTCAAAAAAAAAAAAAAAAAGTAACAGCGAATGATGAACATAATACTGCCCTTGGCCTTGACAAGGTTCATTCAAGGCAACCCAGGAGGCATGAAATTTCAGACACCAAACTGTATTCAGCTGGATACTTGATATGGCTGAAGTGACCATGCTACCATGTGTTCTGGCTCTCTGAGCAGCTTATTTCATCAATTCATTACTTGTGGGCTTTGAATTGTGCCTGGTACCAAATCAATGCCCAATAAATGTATGATAATAAATTTTGATCAGAAGCATGCAGTCATCAAGCAACAACCCTTTGCTTGACGTTGAACAATTCAGTTATCATTTTTACCAACCAGATGTACCCAGAACAACCAAAAGTACTTCACTTTGAGGTTTTGATAATAAACTAGAACTTTAAAGAATGCTCTTTATTGGACCAACTTTTGACAAGGGGGGAAAAAAGCTTATTTAATGAACTCAGAAAAAATAAAGATGAAGACGAGAGAAACATAAAATGAACATATGGCCTTTCACATGATACATGTTGTTATTTTACCTGCCTTCTATTACTTTTATGTGTTATTCAGCTTTCTTCCACATTTGCATATTTTTTCATCTATACATAGGGAATTGAGGACTTTTAAAAGTTTTTTTCTGTCTCTGATGGATTCGACAATATTTGCAATTCTAGGAGACATCTGATTATTCTTTCAAAATAAATTTATCAGAAGGAGTTTTGTTCTCGAAAATCATTGTGATTACAGAATTATCTTTTGCTCTTCTACTATCAGATCTCCTATTGTTCTCTGGTAAATTTCTTGGGAAGAAACTTGACATTCTGATTTAATCTTCTTTGTCCTGTGTTTTCCCAACCATTGTCATTATGGAAGGGGGTGAGGGGAGAGAGGGTTGGAAAGAGGGAGCCCTAATGTTAAAGCTAAAGTTAATTTCATATTTCCAAGAAGAAACTTTAACTTCTCCCTAATATTAAGAACACTGAGAATAAATACTCACTTTTTTTTTTTATCATTGTGTTTGAATTCTAGCTATTCCAAACTCTACTTTTCAAGTTCAGAGAAAAAAAATTTTTAATCTCATTTGGGATATCAACTATTATAATTATTGTTATTTTCAAGATCTGTTTAGCCATTAAGCTGCATTACAGTAAATGCAAATATATGAAGAAGAAATGTAAGTTTTTATCATTAAGACTAAAACAACTTAATAAGAAACTCCTGAAGTAAATGAGTTAGGCTTTTTCCACCCTAAAGGATGAGCAGCTAGCTTTCCTACCCACTAATGAGCTATTTTTGACCTGACTAAAACATTTCAGTATCCCTCTCATGCCTACTCATTCACAAAGACTTCCCCCACCCCCATACCATTCCCATCCAATGGGCTGTGTGCCTGATCTGCATGCAATATTGTCCACCAGCATGAACGATTTACAATGGGCACTTTATTTCTATAATTTAAAAGAAAGAGAGAGGGGGAGAGAAACAACTCCTGATGCAAAATATCATTTTTTTCTTTCTAATGGATGAGTAATAACCAGGAGATTTCTGAAAAGCTGTCCGGGGTGCCTGTCAGTGCTGGCAAAATTTCTGACCCAGAGAAATATATTCACAAACAGCCCCTGTGATTATGAGTTACAGGCCCCTTTGGAGAAAGCTGCTCGGAGAAGCAGCAGAGAAATTATAAAACTAGTCTAAATACTTGGCACATAGAATTCACTGTCCATCCATCCTGCTCTAAATAAAATATATAAAATATATGTTTGAATAAAGCTCAAAACAACATATATGAAATATATGGTTACAAGAACTCCACAATGAAATGCCATTTCAAAAGATGCCAAAGGGCTGGAAATCAGCAAATGGATGTAAATTAGATCAGGCTTTGGCACCTTGCAAATCCATATTCCCATCAGCCCCAATCCTTGTGCTCCAATTTAACTTGATTCTGAAGATCCTCTTTGTGGTCTGATTTGGAACCTATTTCCTCTCTTTTGAGATGAGAACAATAAGGGAGGGGAGAAGGAATATGTGAAGAAAGGTAACAACAATTCACTTGAATTAGGGATCATTTTGCTTCATGTTCCCTTTCAGTCCTTCCTGCTCTTGCATAGATCTTGGCAAGGGTTGCTGTTTCAGTGCCAACTTAGTAAAGGCAGTGGGCATGATGCTGGAGTAGAGAGGAACAGCATAATGTCTCCAAATGGGAACTGTTTGTCAAACACCAGAAGCCAATGGAGGAAACTGGGAAAATAGGGATCTCTGCAACTATTTTTTTTTTCCTACAAGGGGTTAAAACAACTGCGATAACTCTAATCAGAGCTTTGTTCTACATGGGATTTCTCTTAACAAGGACTCTCTAGGAGTAGACTCCTCTGGCAGATTCCCTTGGGAAAACTCTGCAAGTTGGGCATAACTTTCCTCTAGGCGACTCTCAGGGTGTTGTTCACTTTGCAGAATATGAAAAATGTACCTCCGATAAGCAAGAAGCTATGCGTGCTTAAGGTATATGAAAAGTACATGAGATTCTTCACATGGATTTCAAATAAAAATGATGAATGCAGTATTCATACAATTTCCATACAGATAGTGTAAGTTTCTTGGATAAAAATTAAAGTAAAAGTGGCAATTTGGCATCCTGTAGAATAAACATCTGGTTGGTTGACTGCAATTTCATTTATGAATCAGCAGTTTTGGCACTGTACAGACACAATCAGAGAAAAATTTTATGACGTTATCTGAGCTTATTTGTGCTTCCTTTTAAAACACAGGCAAATGTCCAAGTGTGATTCTGAGGTGATAGTGACATAGTAATAACTGTCTAGTGAGAAAACCATGGAAATACTAATTTTGGTCATATCTACAGTCTACAGTCTACATATTTCTATATGTATTGCATTGTTTGGTTCTATTAATAACCATATAAGGTAGACAGGGAGAGAGTTTTAATTTCACAATTGAGAAAACTGAGGGCACTGGAACTTTTTAAAACTAGAGCTTTAATCGGGTCATCTGGTTCCAATTGTTCTAATCTCAACTCATTGTGGATAAGAGGGTATGCTAAATTGAAGAAAGAATGCTTTCATGCCTGGTCAGAGTTGTACTTTTGGTTCAGAAGTGGGAAGCAAAAGGGATGAAATACAACCTCATAATTCAGAACCTGCAGTACAATATCACAGTGTGGGTTCTGGGTATGGAGGGGTATCACATGTATTTATGTAAGTGTGCACATTTGCATTTTGTGCATGTCCATGCCCTACAAATATTGATTAGTACTTGCATGTGACTTACAACTCATTGTTAGCACTGGTCTAAACTGTAGTAGTAGCGAACTCCAGTACTGTCATTTTCAATATTCCCTGGATAGGAGACAACTCACCAGAGGTGGTAAATGTCTACAACCTCTGAAGATAGAATCTGGATTCTCAATTTTCATATTTGAAAAAGAAGGTGAACACTCTTTATTTCAATGTGTTTGTGAATGTACCATTTTCGTTATGTTCTAAAATATTCAACCTTTTTTTTTTTTTAAGGCACAACGTTCTGTGACATTGTGAACATACTGTGAAACTCAGACTGCCCTGAGTGGAAATTTAGTTTGCTACTGGCTAATAACTTTTTCCTAGAGGCTCAATTAGAAAATTCAGGAAGTGGACTCCATGTATGTATTCCTAGAAGCATGTAAAAAGCAGCAGTACCTGTATGTAACAAAAATAAGGAGATAATGGTAAATGATATAAATGCCACAAAATATGGTTAGCTTCATGGGCTTGGTTCTTAATTTTTTTTGCCATTTGTTATGCTTTAAGAATAAAACAAAGAACAAGGTAACATCCAGAGATTCGTACAAGAAAGGTGGCTCTTCCACAAATATTCTGCCTTTTTATCCCACTGTCTGGAAAACTAATTGAGGTTTGGGGAACTAGCAGTGCTTTTGCATTTTTCTTCATTAGGAAAAGTATTTGTGAAACAAGCTTCAAATTTTTGCCATTCATGATTCCCGGCCACAAGGTGATATTCTTCAGTGACACAATCTTCAATGTATATGAGCCAGAGGATCATTTCTTATCCTGAGCACACGACATAGCTAAGATGCAGCTGAAACCACCCCGCCCACACTCTCCACTTCAACAACAGCAGCTCATTATCAGAAGCACGTTGAAAAGGGCGGTGCAAGCACAAAAATCAATCTGATTGTATAGCTCTGCAAAATCATTCCAAGGGAGAAAAAAAATGCCAGAGAGTAAGAGAAAAGGGGCTGGGAGGGTGGAAAAAAGTAGGAATGAGGACATAAACTCTCCAAGGTCCATAAGGACTGAAGTTTAATGGCTGAGTGCTTGTTTTGAACTGTGACCTGAGGTTTGGCTTGGCACTAACAGTGGCATGCCTCATCAGCCACTGTCATAGCCACCCCAGGGTATACCTCCAGCAGGGAGTCAGCTCCGTATCCTGAATTCTCAACTACCAGCTACCCACCGCCTCCTCCGCACGCACTGCTGAGACCCTGCCGAGAAATCAGCATGCAACCCAAGGAAGCATCCTTTCCTCTGGAATAAAAATTAATATTACTTGTCATATTTCATGTCTGAGCTCTTTTCATGCTTTATCCTCTGGTAATGAGGGCTAAATTACCAATATTAGTAGATTTTCATGGCTAGCACAGAAAGAGCTGTTACCAGAATAAATGTTTGCCTTGCTTCTGTTGGACACAGGCTTTGCTAATGCAGCTTTGCTAATTATTTCTAAATAGGCAATAATCTGCATCCCCTAGTGCTGGATAGTGGATTGGCCACGTACCTGCTATTTCCCTTATTTACATGTTTTACAACTTTATCAACTACACTAATTACACTCTGAGCACTGTTTAAAATTTTCTGTTAATAGAGATACAATGATGCACCAGAGGATGTGTATTTATGCCATAATTGCGCCTCTGTTCCTACGATGCAGTCTCCAATTAGCTGTCTACGGTGGCACAAGCAGCTGCCTGATATTCTAAAGCAGTGAAACATCTGCACGGCGGATGATACGCTCACATGGATTTTTTTTTTTTAAGCCTAGAAATTTACACCCAAGGGAGTGCAGACAAATAGGAGCCTGTCATGTGTAGGGATGATTAGAAATCCTCACCATGGCAACATTGGAGCAGCCATGTCACAGAGTGAGGGGACACATGTCTAGATGAAGGCGCTAAAAACATTTGCCATTTTTTTTTAGCTTCAGTCTTCCAAACTTCCCTCCCTCCCCCTTTCTCTTTTTCATAGTCTTCTCTTTGCATCTAAAGCCAACCAAAACAGCAGGTGAAAAGGCCAAAGTCTGCAGCCATACAAGGCATATGACATAAGGGATCTAGTGTTAGGAAAAACAGTGAGCAATCAGAAATGTTAGACTCAGGAAATGTGCTGGGCCAGGAATGGGTGGGAGTGTGTTTTGTTTGAAAAACTATCGTAATAATTATTATTTCTTTAAGTGCTGGGTTGTGTTAAGAGCAAGAGGCAAGATAGAAAATAAATATTAGACAGAATATAACACTTGAGGTACCTTAGTCAAAAGATGACATCTAATTTAAAATTTCCTTTTAACCTTCATTAACAGTTACAATTTCTGCATGAACAGTTGGCTAGCACACATTAGTGAGAGTAGGGAAGGCACACAAATGTCTTCTAGTCTGATATTGAATATATTTCTTAATGGTTGCTTCTTTGATAAGCCTGCCCATACACTACATGGATACATTTAATTACACATTTAAGAAGGCATTAAATCCTATAGGAAATTAAGATGGAAGCAAAAATATATCATTGTGCTTTCTAGAATTATGCCAATTTGTATATTATGTTAATTATAATATTGTTAAGAATAATGTTGTACTTTGCCTATGATTTAACCACATAGGCTTCATAGATGCCATTTATGATATTATATGTTTTGGTCTACATATTACCTTAATTACTGTTTGAAAATATGAAAGTTTAAGTTATTAATTTAAAAATTGGTCTTCCAAATAATTATTATATCATATGATTATGGCAACACTTCACAATTAATAACGAAGACATGTTTAAAAGTATTTAATTAGCAGAGAGCTGAGAGGTGAAAGGGGATACTAGTAGTGAAATAATTAGGGGGAAAATCCTTTAATACAAAGAGTAATTATAGGTAGGAGCAAAAATGTAACATATGTGCTAAATTATAAGAGTAGTACAAGCAATGTGAATTGCATTAAGGATCAAAACATATCAGTTTAAATTAGCTCCTGTTCTGTGACAATGATCCTCTTGGTAAGGCACTAGGTTGTTCATACTTGTGTTTCTTAACATCACTTTGGGCTGTTACCTCAGAAATACTCAGATGTCAGGGTAAGGTACAGATTATTCTATCATAACTGGAGTTCTTTTGGGAATAAGTCTCAAAAATGTATATTTTAAAAAATCCTTTAATTCATTTTGTTGAGAACAAATACAATATTAGGACATTCTATCGATAAACAAATGTTTATTTTTAGAAGTATTATACGTGTATGTATATGCATAAGTATGCATATATACATACATTCATAAAGACTGGCAATGCTTTCAAAATAACTGCATACTACTATATGCCTACAGTATAAAATCTCAAATGGGATTGTGATTAGAAGCAGGGCTTTATAGTTCTTCAATATGTTTAAAATAACTTCATGAAATTCTAATAAAAATTTAAAGAAAAGATCATCTTGAGTTAACAGACTAGATTAGCATGATCTTGGGTTAATGGCAGATAAGTCTCCTAAGACCACTTCTAATTTTCTAACACCCTGGTACCATTGGGTTCGTGATGATCAACATTTCAGTCAGCCCCCTCAGGCTCCTGGCTTTTGTCAGACCCTGGCACTAAAATACCTTACAGTGTTTACCAATGAAATCATAAAATGTTAGATTAACAGTGAAAATGTCTTCCTTCTACTTACCACTTTAGTAACATGAGAATTAGTTATCAAAAGAGAAACAGAGTTGCCTCTTCCCCATCATATCCTATAAGTAAATTCTGAGTGAAGTTGGAGAGTGTCTACATAAATGATTCTTGTCATGACTCTAGCCTGTGGGTCTCACCGTCCCTCAGCATACCATATTTTGTACAAGCCTATATTAGAGAGGTATGATACTGGAGATCCACCATCCACCACATCTGTCAGTGTAAGGACAGAGTTTATCTGATAAACAAGTCATTTTTGGAAACTGCAGATGCTCCCACTGTGAAGTATTAAATGTGGCCCCGCTTAGATACATAGAATGGGGTTCCGGTCGACTGAACGCGGGCTGATAAGCTCTGAACAGAGCAGAATGCTGTTTGCCCACATACTAATGTTAAACAAAAGAACCGCAGACTGCAGAGAAAGGATGCGGGTCAGACCAGTAAATTGCTTAAACCCTTAGGCAGCCTTCTGAAAAGAAAAGGCATGAAAGAAGCTGATATGAGCTTTTATGCAGAATTGTTCTGTTTATTATCCCTGTTAAGGAAATGATGGCAAGTGTCTTGTTAAACTATATATTCCCAATAAGACAAGACGGCTGACTCTCTAAACAAGATGCAATATGCCACTGGTCATCACTTGATAAACCGTACATATCTTCTATATTATTTCTACATTTAGAATACAATGCAAAAGACAATAATTTAAGCTGTACTCATGAAAACCATAAAGGCTGTTAAATGTCTTAGTATTACACTACCTGATTTGTCACTGGGTATTCCAAGCTAATAACAACCTGTCATGGAAGAAATCTATTTTGTATAAAAATTTCACTATCTTCCATTAAAACTTTGTTAGTTTTCAAACATGATGACTATATTTCAAATGAATTGCTGAGACAGCTTAATAATAAAATCAGAATAAAGTATATCATTGTGACAACATGTAAACTTACCCTGAATAGAGCAGGGATATAATTTTATTAGTAAAATTCTCCAGTGGATAACACGACAGTCAATATTGAATCACCCCTGCGTTAGGGGTTGGAGCTGGGGGAAGGGAGGAAAATATTCTTGAGTTTGCTAGACTTTCAATACTTTCCCTCAGGTCTGACCCCCTCAAGAAACAGCGTCTTTTCTGAAAGCAGATTTTTCTTCTACTCAGCCCAGTCTCCTCTCCCTCCCCTCCTGCAGAGACACTCCCATTCTGATTCATGTATTGGGACAAAGGAAATGAGGAAAAATCCCAAGGCTTAAAGAAAACCTGATGAGAGAACCCTAGCAGATAAGCAATGCATTTCGTCCAAATCACAAAGCAAGAAAAGATTTGGCAATCAAAGGGCCACAAACATACAGAAGAAGAAAATAAAACTATATGATGTAAAGACAGAATAAAGAAAAACACACACTGGTAGCTGTACCAACAATAAAAAATTAAAAATTACCCTGTGCTTAAAACTAGTATAACATGGCATTGAGTACTACTTTGACATTTCCCTGTGGCTTTACTCAACAGACAATAAATGAAAACAATCTTGAAACTATTCTGCTAAAGGTTCAGTGTAGGAGGCATGTCCATACTTTGTCATCAGATAATCTTACAATCAGGGTCAGCCTTAAAGCGTTTACACCAATAGATGCAACAGGTTTTTAATAGGAAATACTCAACTCTGGTCCTAAATGTTTAAAAAACAAACAAACGACAACAAAATGAAAAATTAAAGATATGCACACACTAATATGAGTCTTCCATATTACTAATATAATCAAATTTTAGAGAAAACAAAGTTTGATAGTTCTGCTCTTAAGGAACATAAGAAAGTGAGTAATAAATCAGTAACAAAGAGAGCCCCAACCAGCCAAGGGGAGCAGAAAGGAATTGATACGCCAATCCAGACACATGGGACTGCTGATTGTGTGTACTCAGTGTGAATGAGTAGGAGCTTAGCTAAGAATAGACATCGAAGGGAAGGGGTGATGCACAGTAGTAAAAAAATTCCAGATTTAAAATAAAACAAAACAAAAACAAAAGCAAGGTTCTGACACGGTGACATTGCAACTCTAGTGAATGGTCCGAGGAGGGAGCTGTTGACACAAGTTCCTGGGTGGAGATAAAATGACACCATTACATCCACAGAAAAAGAAGAAAAGGGAAGAGAACTTAACTAAACAACACATTTGAAATGATTTGCAGAAATAATGTTCATTTAAGCTACAAATCTGTACACTCAGGGTATCAGCTAACGTAGATCCCTTCTACACGCTTGTCTGGGTGTGGTCCAGAGCCAATGTGTCCAGAGCAGAGGCGGACACATTCTTCAGATTACACAAATAAACTCACCCCAACAAAGAGGAAAGTGCTGAGAAAGGCTAATAGACAGTGAGTTAACCCTTGCAATGCTTGCCATATTGTTATGGTAAATATTTAGGATGGCCAACTCATTAGATAAATAGGTTGGAAGGATGCTCTCATCCTCAGGGCTACTCTGAGACCCTTATGAAAGGACAGGGCATGCAGGAGATGTATCTTTTCACATAGTGCCTGATTCCAGAATGCATAATGGGCACATCACTTCAAGTACCTTCCATTTCACACATTTTCCTGTACAGAAGTTTTGCAGAGTAAGCCGTTTTCTTCTTTTTCCTTGGTAATACACATTGACAGCCTTCAGATGATGAACGTAGATAGTTATATTTGCAGGCTGCAAATTCTATCTGCTCAAGATTTATTCTCAAAGACCCTCACCTACCTAATCTGAAAGGTCCTTGCAGGGCACAGGGCTCACTGCTGTGCCTAAAAGTTCAGCAGTGGCAGAGAGCAGGGCTCAGGTGGAGCAGGATCTTTAGAGCATTCTGTCCTTAGCAGCTTTCTGCCTTCTGCTTTGGCACTCCCTTGGGGAAAACCTACAGGAAGCACACACACACACACATACTCCCAGAGTCTGAGAGAAGCACTGATAACATTGGTTCACAACAAGGGAATATGTCTTTTTAAAAAAATTAGACTTCCCCCTCCGCACTTTGTTTTCTTTATACCCCTGGGTAAAGCGGGTGACTAGTCAGCTCAAGGAGGAATATTATGGAGCTTGGTAAACTTGACTTTGGATTAATTAGTCTTTTGAAAAATAAAACTTTTGTTTTTTAACGACACATATAGATTTCCTTTCAGAAAACCTACAACAGAGGCTATTATGTGAAATCAAGGAATCGTTCTGAAAGCACAAATACTGAAATGAGAAAGGGATTCCTTTGCTTTTTAAATTCTATGAAACTTGTACTCGTATCCACCTAATATCAGAAAGCATTTCACTTATAGGCCATAAAAATATGTATACTTTTTGGAAGTGTAAAAGATACTTCTGAATTAACATTCACTAAAAGAATATTAAAAATAGCAATACTAAAACTATATTTTGACTCCATATATGCTTGAAATAGTATTAATTTATTTTCCATGAAATTTTGGTAAAAATTTATGAAATAGTGAGGAATCTACTTGAATCATTAAAGATTACCTTAACTTAAAATGCTCCATTGCCTATAGTGTCCTATCAAACCTCATAAAAAACTTATGATGTGGAACATAATTTATTATCTATGTCAAGGTTTTTAAATAGAGAAACTATGGTAAGAGAAGTCAATGACAATTAATGCTTTAATTAATTAATTGATGAAATGATTTTTTTGTTTGTTTGGTTGGTTCATGTTTTATCAGTAGCTTTTTCTTTTGCAGGGCAACTTCAGGCCTTGGGGTAAGTTCCAAAGTTTACTTTTGATGTAATTCCTAAAATTGGTTCTCAATGCATTTCCTAAAGTTGATTCTCAAAAACATGATGCTTAAATGTTATTCATCATACAACACTGAAGATGTACAGGTTGATCCATTAAATGTTTTTCACTCTCTAATAAAGAATACTCCAAGGCTGGCTATCTTATGTCTGAATTCCCAGTGTGTTTATCAAGTGTGCTAATTGATCACTCTGCAGGAACATGACTTATTGTTCTGTGAATTATTTAAATCCATCCATGTTTAAAAAAGAATGAGGAACATAAAATGGAACAATAAAACGTCAATGAAAAACATTAAAAACATAGGAGTTACTATTAAACAGTTTGGTCATTTTCTGTCCATAGGAACCTATTTTGGCATCAAACATATTTCTAGAATGAGATCAAAATAAACAGCATATCTTAGGCTTTAAAGTTTATGTCAAGGTTGTGCTTACATAAGTCAGTACATCCTGGAAGCTCTTGCATCCAGCCATCTTTGCATATTGAGTCTATCCCCAACTTCTTCTTTGTGTGTCATCTTAACATACTCCACCTCTCCAGATCTGTTTCCTTGTCTATAAAATGTTACTACCTAACTCAGAAGGTTGATGTGAGAATGAACTTATTAGTTAATGTGATTACTAGATCATTCTTAATTTTATCAATTCAGGTGATTAAAAATTTTGTAATGAATTAACTTGATATTTTGATTTTATTTAGAACAAACTATTGGAGATAAAAATAAATGATTAAATAAAAAAAGTCACCATGCAAGTGGACCTTATATTTTTTTAATGAAAAGTTTAAAAGTCTTTTACTGGAAAAGACACAGAAGAGTTATCTGAATATTTAGGTTTGAGTCTTAGATTCTTTTCAGAATGAAATCCTGTTCCTCAGTGTCTCCCTCTGCAGAACAAATGGCAACATACTGCCAAGTAATATCCCACTCTGACATACTCTGAATATGGGACAACCTGATTTAGAAATCCATTACTTTGGTTTATAGGTTTATCATCCAAATGCAAACCTTTGTGAATAAAAGGGGTCCCTGTTGACCACTCTCTCACAATAGGAATAAATCTAGGTTCTTTCTAGCAAACAGATTTTTGGTCTATCTACTTATAGTATTATTCTATTGGTGAGCACTTAGTTTTAATTATTATATAAAAATCAATAACTTCTGAAATATTTTCCCCTTAATCACATTCTTCCTACCTGAATGATGTAGTAATACTCTCTTTAAAAAGAAGAGCCAAAGTCAATTTTAAGGAACTATCTAGCATGTTAAATAATTGCTACTGTAGGGTATGAGAGAAATCTTTGTTAAGTAAAAACTATTTTCTGCAAAAGTAGTTTTTAAAGCAAGTATCTGTAAGGGTTTCTTGAATTGATTTGGTAATATTAATAGTTATTCATAGTAAAGGAGTTTGCTGAATTAAACTAAATAGGAAAACACCCAGCCATTTTTAGACAATTTCACAAAGATATAGAAGTCTGACATTAATACTTATTGATTTTGCCTTAATTTTGTAAGGCAAGCCATTATAGACTATTGATGAGGCTTTTGTTTTTAATCTCTTTGGTGATATCTCCATCACCTTTAACTTACACACAGATCCTGAACCAAGGTGCTATGAAATTCTGTTGCTTTATCAATGATGCAACAACATACCTTTCTGTTCAGTTGAGGGGAACAGGATCAACTCATGAGAGCTGCAGAAGCTCTCCTAGTTGGGTACAGGATCATCTTGCCATCAAATGTGACCTGACACAATCAACAACAGTTGATATATGTGCTGTAGTTACTAAGGCTAAATTCCTGATCAATATGTCAGATTTCAAAAGCGATTGCAACAAAGTAGACTCTGGATTATGAGGGAGCTGAATGCACAAAGGCAATGGAAGGACAAATCAGGCAGGACTGCCTGCATTTTGCATGTCAAAGGATGGAGCACATGATGCTGGATCTACAAATGCCTCAGTACTTAGGAAGGCAGTAGTCTGTGGATCATCAGGAGGGCTAAAAATGTTAAACATTACAAGTTAATTATTAGTAAGAAGAAGAAAGAGAAGAGGAGCATGAGCACACACAGTTCTGTAAAACCCAGTAATTCTGCCCAGGCCTGTGACTTGCTCAGACCTCACCTAAGCATCCATTAACATGATAATGCCCATTAATCCCGCCAAACACAACTCATCTGTCATCCTCAGTGGCAACCCATCTGTGTGCATGTTGAGGGGGAAAATTCACAGTTTTAGCTGTCCAGGGATTAGCTTCAGAGGAAAGGCTGATTTTCCCTAATTCTTTGCTAGGAAAGCACTCATTTGTTTGCATTTATTGAAGCATCTATTTACTTTTCAGCTTTCATCATCTCACCAACATCTTAAGCAAAAACTAAGCAGAGAATGGATAAAATGGCAATAAAAACATCTCAGAACAATCAAGCTGAAGCCTAATTTAGTTCTCTCTCAAAGTTTATAAAATTATTTATTTTTATTTCTTGTCTGATCTCAGAAATGCTTTCTGTCACAGCAAAGGAAAATATGTACATATTTTTCTATCTTTAAAGTGTTGTCCATTATGAGGCTATGCTCTTCTCTGTTTGCTTTTCTCTAATTGATATAAAATGGGTAAATGCTATGTATGTTTTTATTATCATATATATTCTCTGTTGTGTGAACAAGAAATAGATTACTTCAGAGAAAGTAAAAATAAAAGGAGCTTAGTTTTTTTTTCTCATGATTAAAAATAAACAGTGATATCTCACCTTGCCATGAACCTTATTCAATGGTTAAATGGTCTGTTCTTTGAGATATATCTATTTTGAATAAAATTATGTATGTATAATAAATACAAATTACCTTCTAATGCAAACTTACAAGAATATTAAAAAGCCCTCTCAATAGAAATATCATGAAAATGTTTTGAGGGTAAATCAACTATTCCAGTCAGTCAATTTGGAAAGAAAAATCAGTTACAAAACATCATGACCGGTTGGTTCACCTAATTGTTTTACTTTTCAACCAGCTATATTAAAATAATGCAGCAATGACCTGCTGTGATAAGCAAAACATTCAAATGAGCATTAAAAATAGACAAAATCAAGCAACCAACCTGGCTGATTTTTCACAAAAATGATCTGTCATTGAACTAAACTGATTAGCAAGTTTATTTTAAAAATGTATATTTTCTGTTTGAGCACGGCCAGGCATTTGTTGTTAATATCTATAAAGGTGGTGTCATTTATTTTTATTATCCTCATCGAGAGTGTCCCAAAGTGGGATGTTAAAAGATTTTACCTGAAAAGTATTCCATCATAAAATAAGTTTGGTAAAAATTTGGGCTGAAAAAGTTAACCAGGTTAATTCTGTATAGGACTTCTTAATTAATTAATTTTGTGGATCTATAAGTAAGAAACACATAAAGAAGTTACTTTACGTGTTAAACTGTTTCCTCATCTGCAAAATGGGGAAAAAAAAAAAACAGAACTTCAAGCCAATTAGTGCAGGCAAAGCAATTAAGAGCGCCAAGCACACAACAAGCACTTAATCAGAATTAATTAATATTATTAGCATATACATATTTTTAAACATATCTGGCAATTTTTTTTTCCTGAGTAACAGTACTTGAAATTAAATTTGCAGAATTCACTATGGAAAACATTACCCTAGAGTAACATTGGGAGATTTCTATTATTGAAAATATTTGATGGAAATATCTCCACTAATAATCCCTCAATGTGAAAAAAGTTAAACAGCATGAATCCAAAAAAAAAAATCTACCTATTAAAGAAGGACAATTAAAATTAAGCACATATATTCAAAGAAAAAGGATCAAACTATAATCCTTGTTACTTGAACAACTTCTCTTTGGGTATCTTGTACTGAACAACCATTACTACCTGTCCATCACACCTAGAAAATGAAACAGGTATTAGAAAGCTGACACAATAAAACAAACACTACTATTTAGCTTTTGTTTTCTTTTTCTTCCATTCAAGATGCCACTAATGGAAATGACAGAAAATCTGTGTATGGCAGCATTTCTGAAAAAGAACATTTATGTAAATAGAGCATGAAGGAGGCATGAAAGAATCTAGCAAGCTCCATTTGGGTCTTTAGACCTAATAGCCCAGATTTGGCCCTCAGATGTGCATGCATGCATGAGGTGATACTGAATTTGACCGAAGCTGTGCAAACAATCCAAAAGCAAAATGAGTCCAATGCTTGGTGCCTAAAGAGTTGGAACTGCAATTTCCAGATGAGATAGTCATAGAAAAGCTGCCCAGGCAAAAAGGAAATGTCCTGTTTCATCCTCACCAAGAACAGAATGACATTTTATGATAAAGTAATGTTTAGAGATTTTAAGTTTGTTTTCTCCTAAAGGACTAATAACCAGAAGTATTTTCAAATATATTTATATCCATTAAAAGTAAATTTTATGAGATAAAACACATTTCCTTTCAATCACTTAGAAATATGTGGGTATTTATGAACTATCAAAGTCAGTGAAAGATTTAAAACTCATATGCGTATGTAGAACTTCAGCTCACCAAAGTGAACCTTATGCATTCGTTTGAATATGCAATGATGCAATCACTAAAATAAATGTACTTGCTGCACTCAATTAAACATTGTATTGTACATGTGTGTTTATTCAATTGTGTGACGATAGAGTGATTGAAACACACACATTTGGTGCATTTGTCTCAATCTGTAGTGCATTTATTTAAATGTACAATCAATCACAGGCCCTCTGCTTTTAGTTTTTTCTTTGTATTTTTAGAGCATACAAAATATAGACCATTGTGTGTATTCTGTGGCATGGTGAAGAACTCAAACGCACACTAAATAAAGGAATATAAAGTTCAAATTTAAGGGAAAGAAATTATGCAACAAATAGGTGTAAATGGGTAATTGCTATTAATTGTTATAAAGTCAGAGTTTTATGTGCTGAGCTGTTCCTGTTGATAGATGGCTGCATGTATAGTTATATTAATACTATTTAATAGTAATTAACAAAAACAATGTAAAAGATATTCAAACCTACATTAACATATTTTCTTCATAATTATATATAACTTTGCTATCTTATTCTATATTATTATTTAAACATGTTTATTATCATATTCATCAAATTGTTCTATTTTCTGGATTTGTTGTGATTCATCCTTCTGCTTGTTATATCTGTTCTTATTCAGGGTATAGTATATCACATTTTCTAATTTTAAAAAGTAAACTCATGTTCAGGAGGGCACTATCTGTGCCTATTCTATGTGGCCTGAGTTGAGGAAATGTTTCTGCAGAGCAACCTTTCCTGTGGTGTTCTAGCCTAGGACCAATTTATTTTAACATTGAATTTTAAACTCATCTTACTAAAAGTTTCATATTCTAAAGGGCTCTTTTTTTCTTCCATCCAGTGTCAAGACAAGGAGAGAAGAACTCCCTTGCCCACCTCTGGCTTTTTGTCCATGCTGTTCTCTTAACCTACAAAGTGCTTTTCTTCTGTGCTTGACATGATCAAGTCTTCTCATCTTTAGATCTTAACTTACAATTCACCTCTTTAAAGAAGCTGTCCCTAAAGACACCAGTCTTTTTTATTTACATATTCATTCAATTAACATTTATTTATTGCCCACACTATTGCAAGCACTGGGAATACAGTAATGAATGGAACAGATGCAACCACTATACCTACAGAGTTGATAATCTAGCAATATGATCCTTCCATGTTTGATCTCATTATTCCATTTCTTGTATAGTGCATGCTATAATTTCCAATTTTTCTATTTGCTCACATTTTTGTTTATCTTACTCGGCTACACACATTTCCTAAGAACCAGTACTATACCTCTCTTGCTCACCTATGTTTTCCTTGATATCCAGAACAATTCCTGGAATATGATATGTGGTCAGAAAGTATCAGTTGAATTAATTAGTTAAGAGAAAGACAAATAGATTTAGTCTTTGCAATAACCAAAGCAACTAATACTGTCACTATTTTGCAGTTAAAGGCAGAGAAGCTGAGTAGCAATAATGGTAGGTCCAAACCATGCTGCTGTTCAGTTACAGGACCAGAGATTGACACTAAGTCAGTGTAACTCAGTACATAACTCTATTCATTGTATTTTGAATGATTTTATTGTACACCTGTGAGCAACAGCAAATTCCTAAGAAGTAGCCTATGAGGAGAGCTAGGTTCAAATTAAGATAAGTAGTGAATCACCCTCATCTCGAGTGGGGATAATCTCTAACTCAAACTACAAACATCAATTAAGATAGTAGATGTAAATTATTAGAACAATGTGAACATTATTTCTATTATAGTAATTATTATTACCAAGGAACAAATAATGCATAATTGTCAGAGTATCTTCTATATGAAAATTATTTGAATTATAGTCATTTCGATGAAAATTCAAGGCCCATTTCTTATACTTCTTTTGTCTTTAGAGTGGCAGATAAGTCTGTGCTACACCTCAAAAGGCATTCAATCTATGTGTGTTGGGTGGATGGTTAGACAGAGACATGAAGAAAGAAGTAATGAATTAATTCTTTTTTAAAGAAAAAATATGTTTTAAAATATAACATTATAACAGTAGATTTTTTAAAATATATGCCAGAACTTAAAAAGTATTTTGATTAGCATTAAACAAGCATGGTCTTTTAAAGTGAATTTAAATACAAGAGTATTATGTGTTTATTCAGTGCTGAAAGAATGCTGTAGGGATCAGAACCACTCAGAATTTTAGTCCAGATTGTCTC